ATTCTATGAAGAGGGGATGGAAAAGCTCGTCCACCAATATGACAAATGCCTCAATATTCACGGTGATTATGTCAAAAAGTAACCACATTTGTACCTAACTTTTGGTAATAAATTCATTTTGTTATTTACACTTGTTTTTGTTTTATGGACCGCCCGAGTTTGAAAAAACCCACCCCTGTAAATATATATAATAATTTTTTAAATCTGAAAAATAAAATGGTCCTTCTAAATCTAATTTAACTAGTATTTTTTAGTAGTATATTTATTTTCAGAATAACAACAAATTTAAACATGTATACATTTAAATTACTGAAATTATTCTGAAAATGAGATTTATATTTTATTTAGTATTTTCAATGTTCAATGTGTATTTTTGACTTTTATTTCCTGGGAATTTTGAATTTAGGTGTGATTTGTGAATATTACAGTTCCAGTTTATGGTGAGGTTGTATTTATTTAGTATTTTCAAGTTCTGCTGGAAGAAGAAAGCTGTTATATTTAATTTAGATTATTGGAATCAAATTTTTTAAATTAGAATTATTTACATATGTTTGTGAAACCTTGTGAATATGACTTTATGAATTCTCTCAAGCATAAAACTGTCAAAATAAACAATATAATAAATTAAGAAATAAATTAAATTTATCACTTTATTTTCAACCTTCAATAATAAAAAAAAACAGTTTCTAAGATTGTATTAATTGCAATTAATACAATTAATGTTACTGTAGGAAAAACTGAAATGCAGAATATTCTCAATAAATATATGCAATTTGAAGTCCATCATTTCTAAAAATGAAAAAGTACTGGTAATATTTTAAATCTTTTACTTTCATTGTTGAATTCACAAGTATTGAGTGTTAATAAATCTAAATAATAGATAAAATCTGATGCTTTGCAAAAGTATACAGCTGCGATCATAAATGTTATCACCAGAAATGGCCCCCTTCAATTTAGATGAGTTTTAATATATATCCAAGTACTTTCTCAGTAATTCACGGTAAAATCATTCAATGTAACTCTCAAGCATTTGTGAGAAAAGTTTAAAATCTTTTGTCTTATTTATGTATTGATAAATGTTAACAGCAGATTACCTGAATAAAATAAGATATTTGTCTATGATATGTATTACTAGAAATTTCCCTGTCAAGCATGACAAAATACTTTTTATGAGAAAGTAGAGATTTCAAGAAATTCAAGAGTTGTTAATATTTTTACAAATTAAGTAGTTTATAAGTAGTTTTTAAGTAGTCTGTTGTAACAAAAAATTTCAGCTGAAGTGGACAAAAAAGTAGAAGTTATAGAGAATTCACTTACACACACAAACTGATTTAGACCCTATATTAAAAGTAATATTAAAATCCTTCTTTATAAAATTACTTTATACACTAAACAGACATTATTGTCTTTTAAAAGATTTCCTTGATGTCTTCCCTTTAGTAATATATACCTTAATATTGTTTTTATGATTCATGTTGTGATCATGTTTTTGCACCCTTGATAAAGCCATTTCTTAATTACACATTGATAAAACAAAGATAAATTGTATGTACCAGTACGTTACTTAGATGAGTGATAACACTTTCTAAATAACAGGTTTGTTAGTGGTCACCATGGAAAGTTTAAAAAATTTTTTTTACAGAAGTGACACAATGAGGTTTTTTTTTTAAAGTTTAAATTTTATGAAGTATGTTTAAAATACACCATTTTTCAAAATATTTAAAAATACAACTTAAGGGAAATTCCCTCGTCAAGAATGAACATCACGTGGTCACTGATGTTAATGCAATGTAAGTGTGACCACTGATCCAAAAGTTATAAAATGTTTTATTCTATAGCTAATATTTTCACAAAATAAGTAGCCTATACTTTCCATCAGAATGTAAAACAAATATAACCAAAATTTCATCTGGATTTGACAAAAATTGCAGAGTTATAGGAAATTCACATACATGACAATTTTTATATGTATTATTGTCACAGATTTAAATCCGATGTTTTTAAAATTTTTTTCTAACCTGCATTGAAACAGATTCCCTGTTATATACAGTATATAAAACAAAGAAAAATTAGTATTTTGTAATTATAACATTTATTTTCTATACAATTTAAGCATTTTATTCATTGTAATTTGCAGATAGACATGCAGTGAGACTATAAATAACAGATCCCTTTGCAATTGTTGATTATCAGTTTAGCAACATGAACAAGTTCAGAGTATGAACTATTTTTATGTATTGTAATTAACAGCTGAATGAGTTCATATCATGTGACGTTCAACTTACTCATGTTGTTACACCAATAATAGAAAAATAGGGAAGAAAGGAACTTTATCTACTTCTGTTGCAGATATAATAAAATGTTTTAAAAATAAAAACTGTGACAAGTGGAAAACAATTTAAAATTTCTTTAATGTATAGTAAATATTGGTTTGTTTGGAAAGTTCATAGCAATTTTTAAGAGAAATAAAAGAAACTGTTTTAAACTAAAAATATAACTTTCCAGTTTTTCCCATGAAAAACTGATTCACATGGTTTTTGCAAGCTTCCAAAGTATCAAAGTTTTATCATGAAGAAATTCTACAGAGAACAGAACAAATGGTAGTCTGATGGGGTGAGTATGGGGTGGGGAGTGGGGTAAAACATACCAGCCTAGTTCCAATAATTTTTGGCATATTCATAAAGACATGTGCAGTCTGGCATTATCTTTGTGAAAACAATGCCTTTTCTATTGGCCAGTTGTGGATGTTTTTCTTTAATTACCATGTTCAATTTACCTAATTGAGAACAATACTTATCAGAATTAATTGCTTGATTCTGTGGAAGCAGCTTGTAGTACAGGATTCCTTTCCAATCCCACCAGACAGTGAGCATGACGTTCTTTGGACGAAGACCAGCCTTTGGAGTTTTTAACGGTGGTTCATTTTTCTTACCGATTGCATGATTATTTTCAGCTGATGTTATAAACAATCCACTTTTCATCACCTGCCACTAAACACTTCATAAAAGGATCATTTTCATTTCTTTTTTCAAGAGAATCATAAAATGGAGATGCAATCCAGTACGTTCTTTTCCGCTAAGTTGTGAGGTATCCAAAATGTTGTAACAATTCACATATCAGAGCTGCTTTAAATGTTGAAACATAGTACTGTTTGATGACTTCACTATGTCTGCAATCTCTAGAATTGTGCAATGAGGGTTTTCATCCAATAATGCTTTGATCTGATCCTCTTCAATTACAGAGGTCTTCCTGAGTGGGGAGCATCTTCAAGACTGAAATTACCTGCTTTAAATTTAACAAACCATTTTCAAACAGTTGGTTTTGCTACATCACCTCCACCTTACGAACGCATCTCAAGGTCATTTATCATAATATTCATTAGTTTGTACAATTCTAATCATTTTCATGCCAATCAGTGTCTCAACTGTCAGATATCAAAAATCGCTATGAACTTTCCAAACAACCCAATAAATGTTATTACAAAATAGTGATTTTTCTTTGTTAAAAAAATTATGTTGCATAAAAATCCACTTCATTGCAGATTAGGAAAAAAACTTAAGAGACTTTAACTCACAACATATACAGTAGAGCGTCGTTTATCCGAATCAATTGGGGACTGAGGTAGTTTGGATAACTTATTTTTCAGATAACCAATTATGTACAAAAAAATATATTAACCTATCCCGTGTTGAAATTTTTCTCCGTTGTGTGTTGCTTCGTGCTGAATTTTCGTTGATGTTAAGCCTAACATAAACTTTTTAAAATAATAATCGTGGCTATTGTATCGTTAAAGATTATTTCTTTATTTTTTTCAAACAAAATAAATATATTGAAAAATATAAAAACAAGAAAAGTTATACTTTAGAAGTTACTCTAGTATCAAAAATGTTCGATTCAGCACCACACACAATCTCAGAAAAACACTACACAAAAGTGTCAGTGCTGCCAGCTAAAACACACCCACCAACAAAAAAGTATTTTGCAGTAGCCCAAGATATAGCCAAAGATTGCAGCGCCACAGCACTAGCGAAAATTTAAATTTGCCGACTGGAAATCTTTCAGTTAACCGGCATTTCGGATAAACGATGCTCTACTGTAGTATATAAACACCTTATTTATTAAACTATTCTGCTGTTAAGATCTTGTCAATACAACACACTACATAAAGATGATGGAAAACTTTAAACTGTTTTTCTCACAAATACTTGAGTGTTGCATTGAGTGATCTATGAATTACTGAGATAGCAGTTGTATTATGATTATATACAGTGCTTTTTTTGGGAAGTGGTGGAACGCCACTCCATCGTGTTCTATGACAAAAAAGCACTAATTATATATATAAAGTTTTCCAAATCAGAGGGGGGTCATCTCCAATGTTTTTTTTTGTTTTTGAAACATGAATAAGCTCTTACAAGAAAAATTTCACCCTTAGACCAATATATCTCATATCACTTCAGATCACATTACACTTCAGATCAGTCACTAAACAATTTTAATTTTTTCACAATTTCCACTTCAAAGCTTCTTAAATAAAGTCTTTCAGTGAAACATTTTAAAATGAGAATAGGATGGTCTTATTATAAAGCAGAAAATTTTAATATTTTATCAAATTTATTTTATTTGTACATTTATTTATTATTATTTAATATTTACATATTAATTTAAGCATTAAATAATACTTTTAAAATTATGTATATATATATATTTCCTCCCCCATTTTTATTAGGAATTTGGTCTACTGTTTGAATACTAGTTAATTTTTGAAAAAGTATATTATTTTTAAATTATTATTATAAACATAAAAAAAAATATCAAACGCTATAAAATGTACAGTACATTATAAAGTTTTTTAATTTAAAACTATTTACAACTATCATTTACTTATCATGAAGTTTTAATTATCTTCATTTTAACAATATATCATCACTTCATTTTAAATAATCAGAATAAGGAAAAATTTTTTCATTAACCAGAAAACAAATTTAAAAGTAAACATTTACCCTTTAGGATGACCTGAGTACTTGTCACATAAAATTGTCACACGATTTATAGAACCACAGCCGTGAAAATGTTGTTCCAATTCTTCAGCAGTTGCTCCATAATCAACCTCAACAAGGAGAGAATATTAGAGTATAACTTCAGAATATTCAAAAAATTTTTAACTTTACAATTAGCATAATCCTATAAACTGTCAATATGCTTTCATATTAAATATGTAGTTTTGAGGGGGAAAAAATGCCTTCAAACTTAATTGTGTATATGATAAAGTATTGACACACAACAAATTTGAAACAAAATATTGAAAATTGTTCATTACAGTGAAATGCAAATTTAATGCACTCTCTTCATAAATCTATTTGAATATATATCATTATTTTTCAAAAGCAATTTTATTTTATAAAATACTCTTTCCATAATATAACAAAACTATTATTATTAAAAAAAATATATATTATCAACATTTATTTCCATTGTACATTAATTTATAATTTAGGAAGAAAGTTTCTAAAGCTAAAAATGAAAAATGTTTACTTTTACTATAAAATGATGTTTTATTCATGCTGCTGCTGCCTCACTTAATAAAAATTGTCCATTGTTCATAAATGGAGAGAATAAAATATGAATATAAATTATTTAGCTTCAATATTCATACTTTCAAATTTACAATTTTCATATATCAATGTTTATAAGTGAAAAATGTCAATTTTTAAGTCCAACAGATTTTTTATTTATGAAAAGTATTTTAAAAATTTAAATTGTCAATTTTGTTACAATTAATATTATGTAAAATTCAGTTAAGATAAAAAAATCAAAATTTGCTAATATTTTTTTTTTTTGTGGTGTAGTGAGAATTTTCTATTGCATATCTAATTTTTGAATGTGAATAAACAGAAAGAGAAATAAATAAATGGTTACATAATACAAAAAATAATTCATTAATTGTGTCATCATTTCACACTAAGTTATCTGTTGATTTCAATTAAGAAATATGTATATCTTATAATTTCTTTATTTAATAAACTTGAATTGTACTTCCAGTAATTACTGTTTATAATAATTTGATGTTCATGTTGTTTATTAATAGTTTTGTACTATTTTTGTGTACCCCTGATGATAAGTTTCCTTAAACAGCAAAAAAGATTTGATTTGAATAAAACTAATTGCTTTTAATTATATTTTTTTATGTAATCCATTTCTGTTTAAAATACAAAATTGAAGTGATTCATTTTACTTTCATTTTTCCCGATCAAACTGATAGAAACACACATACTATATATATATATATATATATATATATAGTATGTGTGTTTCTATCAGTTTGATCGGGAAAAATGAAAGTAAAATGAATCACTTCAATTTTGTATTTTAAACAGAAATGGATTACATAAAAAAATATAATTAAAAGCAATTAGTTTTATTCAAATCAAATCTTTTTTGCTGTTTAAGGAAACTTATCATCAGGGGTACACAAAAATAGTACAAAACTATTAATAAACAACATGAACATCAAATTATTATAAACAGTAATTACTGGAAGTACAATTCAAGTTTATTAAATAAAGAAATTATAAGATATACATATTTCTTAATTGAAATCAACAGATAACTTAGTGTGAAATGATGACACAATTAATGAATTATTTTTTGTATTANAAAGTACAGTACATATTTATACGTCAAAGCACTACAGATAAATTCATAAATTTTGTACATAAATTCTAAAAATTTTGTTCTTTTCCTATACATAAAATCTTTGCTGAATATAATAAATAAAGAATGCATTATTTACCAGAAAAACATTTATGTTAAATAATTATCAAATAAAACCACAAACATTAATTTTGTATTCAGAACTGCATTTATCTACCATTTAGTTTTCTTGTTAACTGATTAGCCTATATAATAAATAATAGATTCCAATCAAATTAAATTATAAGTAACAAAATAACTTTAAATTTTAAAAATATATTTCTCTTGCATTAAAATAAATATGTAATTCCTCAACTATTATCATCATTCACCAAAATCCAACTTTAAAAAATTGAAATCAACTTATTAAAAATTATGCATAAATTTAAGTTGGAATAATACATAATTATCATTGCAAATGATACAGTATGTTTGATAAAATTGGCATAATAAAAAATCTGTATACCAGTACTTTTAATATAAAAAGAATCATTACTATCTAATTTGTATGATACGAAGTCTTCAATAATTTCTAATTATTGCATCTCTTTGCTTTTACTTATGACAGTTATTTGTTGTAGATCTTGTTTAAAAGTTAAAAAATACACTTACGTAAATTTTATATGACAGTAAAATAAACTTAATTCTTAACATACTATTTACATTACAATAATCTAAGCAGATATTTGCTGATTTACAAGGTACAAATGTATTCTTGTTTATTGTGACTTCTAGTCTGAAACAAAGCTACACAATAACAATGAAAAGTGTCAAATCTAAGAAGTGAATTAAATATCAATTACAAAAAATACAGTTGATCATAAAAGTAACTAGTGCCAATTTAAAATTTGACAACAGTACAAGTCAGTACATTGATCATTACACAACTTTATATAAAAGTTATATAACAGATGGCCAAAAACCTATCTACAAGTTTATAATGCTTTGAAACAAACAGAGTAAGATATATAAATCATATTGAAATACCATTCAAATCAACTTTTGTAGCCATTTATATTACAATGTACTCAATATACTTGACTTCAATTTAAAAGATCTTTACATCATGGAAAACACCACAGGAAAAAAAAATTCACCAACTTGCAACTTTCTAGTTATAAATCTTTGAGACTTTTTTCATAAAAATATCTTGAGGGCAATGTACTAATCAATCCAGACAAAAAAATTGAGTTATCTGTTGAGTGTAAAATATGCTGTTCTGATACTTTTTCAAAATATCAAATTTTGGGATAAGACTGAAGATGATTGGGGCTGAAGGAAGGGGGCAAGCATAAGTAATGCCTAATAATAATAATGGATTCAAATGCCAATATGAATGATATTTAAGTAAGATTTGTATATCATGTTTAGTTATAATAAAAAACATTAACTTAGATAATTTTTGACCAGTCTGGATAATTGTTATTATGATCATCATATAGTATAAATACTATAAAGCTCCTACTAAATACTCATACTATAAAGAGAAAAGCAATTTCAAATGAATTTAAAATTTGTGAGAGAAGCAATTAAAAATTAGAAAGTTTTATATTATGTTTAATATAATTTACTGCACATAACCTGCAAAAATTGCAACAACAAATATTTGCCTACATTTGATTTCAAACTGACTTTAAAAATTGAATTCTTTGGTTATATAATAATAGAAAATTATAGTTACTTTAGATATTATATAAAGTTCATGAAGTTAAAAAAAACATGTTTATTTTTATTCAAATTAAAGATATTTTTCTCTAACTATTGTTAGAAATTCTGAATGGATTAATATTGAAATAAATTCCTATTGTTAGTTATTGAATACATTTTTCATTTTGTTCTCATATTTAAGAAAATAAAATTAGTTTCTTGACCACAATGATTAAAACAATAATTTTATTTAAAAAGGATATATATATAAATATTAAAATTCAGAAATCCATATGTAAATGAGTTCTACACAAATTTTGCAGAATAACTACAGATATACAAAACAGCATTATATTTGATTTCCACTGTATTTAAACAAACTTTTATCTAATTTAACAGTTACAGTAAAAAGCATTTCACTTGTGCATATAAACTTCAGTTTCATTTTATGAAATGTGAAACAAATTTTCAAATTTCATTAATTTTAGATTTATTTAATAAGTTTAAATAAAAAGGTTTAAATACCAAGATCAGATATTATAACTAACATTTTTAATCCAAAAAAATATTAAATGTTTTATATAAAAATATATTCATGTAAAACAAGAAAAAATTCTATAAGATTAATAATATATATATATATATATATGCACTTGATCAGAATCTGATTGTAATCAGGTAATCATTAGTCTAACATGTACTTTTAATAAACATCATTTCAAGTGCAAAAATTATTTAATTTGTTCTTGAAATTTCAATATCAAACACTTACATTGCCCACATAAACCGATCTTCCATCAACTTCCATTTTTTCTTCAAGTGATAAACCAAGTAACGCACCTAAGAAGAAAAAAATATATACTTCAATTTATTTATTGTAAATTTATTTTTTTTCTATAAAAAATTATAAACCTAAATTTGTTTTTCATTTATTACTATTATTATTCATTTTAATTTTTATGTTTTGTTATGCTGTTAGTTAAAAAGCCAAATTGTTTCATGCTATAATGAAGCTAAAATTTTAATTACTAATTTTCTACATATTACCTGCAATGATTACCCCAGTAGAAAACTGCTAAAACCAAAATGAAAATATCACACAGCCTATATAGCTTTATACAAAAGTTTCTACCAAAAAGATGCTACTTAACCTGTAGGCAATTTAGAAAGCAAATGAACTGAATGAACAAAAACAATTGCTTCATACTATACATAAAAATGCTATTGGATTAATAAGAGTATTTATTTAAGCAGTGGCTGCTAGTGTTAGCAAATGCTTAATTAACAAATACTCATGCTTCCTGCTTAAGAAAATACTACAAAAGCATATGAATAAATTAGCCACCTTGTTTTTTTTTAAAAACTAAGTATATTAATCTGATTTGAATTCTTTTTTTATGGTCATTCACTTATATGGGTACCAGGAGCTGTCAAAAGTTAGTTTACGTTAGATTAGGGTAGGGTCCTGACAACAAGTGTGTTTTGTCGGACACACTGCTGATTTTGACATAACCAGATAGTTAAGGCGCGAGGGTAAGAGTCACTCCGAAGTCCGGGAATGAGCCTCTAAGGAGGATGAATGCAAAATCAAATACAAATAACAAGAGTTTATTATCAAAAATTAAGTTCTGGATAACATTCTTAAAATCCGATTCAAAAAAGCTGCCTATTTCTATCTATAAAACGAGGGGGCTGCCTAACAGGGGGTATCCGAACTACAACACTCAAGGAAAAAGAGCTGTCTTCTCTTGTAAGTCTAGTCAGTCTCCTAATCTAGTTCCTTTTTTTTTGCTCGATCCTTCACTGATGTCAGCCGGTAAATGGTGTTTGCTTCTAGTCAAAATTTCCTTGCGATTATGGCGGGATGGGTTCACTTATGTCTATTGTTGATGTACGCCGTTGACGCCTTCCTTGTATGGGATGGTTCTTTGAGAGTTTGGAGAGGCCGGTGCTTTCTACTGTTGTCTGCTGAGGAGCTCTGTCTGTGTCTGGATTTGTGCCTCTTTCATATGCTTTTCAGCACAGGAGAGTTATCATATGGTTTACTATAGTATTGGTTTGGCTTTTGAGCTGAGTCATTACAGTAGCAAAACTGTTTTAACTCTCTGACTTCATATAGTGATAGCGGTGAACTCCATGGATGTCATCACTGACAAATCCCATCATTATTCTTCGAATTTTTTGGTTACTGTTGTGCCTTGAAACAATGTTCGATCGCCGCCATGATCAGCCGGGGGGGTGTTTTTTTCCCACTTTCTTTAAGTTTTATTCTTTTACAAATTTATTTAATTACTTAATTGTCCTCTCATCCTTTTCCTTGCATGTTGTAAGATTTATTGTCGTTAATTAATAAACTTCTTATTCTAAACTGTTTCTCTGAATCATTCTAAGTTGATATTATTGGAAATTTCTATAGGAAAGTCCCTAGAATTGGAAAAATAGGCAAATTTCCTCTTACACTTTGATCCATGTATAAACAATCTCAGTATCTTCAAGATGTGGGTTCAAAAGAAAAAGGATATAAAATAAACACAAAGTTTAAATACAATAAAGTCGCTAACTAATTAATTAAAGTGACAACAAAGTGGCTGAACTAAGATTACAGATAACGTAAATAACAAATTCACAAATACATACACACACACACACACATATATATATATATATAGATAGTAACAACAATTTTTAGTGGGGGGGAAATAGTGATCTTCACACTTATTTAGGAATTTTTATTAATTTTTAATGAATGAAATAATTTTCACATGTTTATGTGAATATATATCAATTTTAAAAAAATACAAACAAAATGTTATGATTTTTTGTTAAAAAACACTTGCCTATTTTATTTAATGCTTCATCAATTCAACAATATTTAGAAATCAGTAAAACTTTGAAAAACAATCGAGAAATTTAAAAAGTTACATTCCAAAAGAAAAATTATACATTATGTCAGGATTCCACATATTTATGGTAAGTACGTTTTTAAAAACAAACTTTATTTTTAAGATATTCACCAGTTTACAGTTTATTTCTTATGAAGTTTATCAGAAATATGTTATAATAATTTTAGATATATTAATGTAGTAATGTCAGTTGATCTATTTGAAAAAATTCATATTTATATAACTTTTGAATGTGTTCTGGTAAACATACATTAAAAACTGGGATCAAATGCTTTTTGTGTGGTTTGTAGACTGGAATGGTTATTGCAAAATGTCATTTTCAATGACACTTTGGAAAATTCATTCCAATCTGCTGGAAAAGCAAGAGCATCTATTCTGTTTGTATTACCAGTTCCAGTTTGGATCTTGCAGTTACTACATATCTTTTGTACACACAAACTTCAGAAGAAATGTTTGTATGTATGTGTTAAGATCCAAACTATTCCTAGGTACACCTAAGATAGATTACAAAAGAGCATACTGTTATCCCCAGACATTTCATCTAGATTATTTTTCTGGCCTCTGTCTTATAAACTTCACAAAAATGTTTGTATGTAAGACAGAGGCCAGAAAAATAATCTGGATGAAATGTCTGGGGAGAACAGTATGCTCTTTTGTAATCTATCCTAGGTGTACCTATAAAGCTAAAGTTATGCTGAAAGAAAACAGAACTTTGAGACAAATGTTTTGGCAACTGTACAGGTTTGATGAGGAAACAGCTTGTATGAATTATCTCTTCTTTGATCCCAAGAATTCACACACATACATACTTTAGAAATCCAATAAATTCTTTATGAAACATGAAAATATATATATAAAATGATGGTTAAGAAATCACTCCATACCATGCTGCTTGGCAATGATGCAACAATTGAACAGGATAAAACTTAAATAGCAGAGATAATGTCTTGGAAACAAGCTATTTATTTCATTTTCTTATTACTTATTATTACTAAACAGTTGATAGTATTTGTTTCTTTACTGCATTTTTATTTAGTATTGCTGTACTGAACAAAATGGTATTCTATTTGTTAAAATATACAATGCAGCAAAGATGTTGGATATTTCTTTTTTTAAGGTAAACCCCAGGTTATAAGCTGGAAAAAATCTTGATATGCAATGTGTGGCACATATGCCAAAGGTTACCCACATGATACAAACCTTATACCCCATTCGCCACCGAGCATTTCGATCTAGATTGTGACCAAGGTTGGCGACTATGCTGTGGTGCAACCTTTCTCGACCGTTTCAATCTCAACTGAAACGAGGTTCAATCACGATCAACTCAAGAGAGTTCTTGAAACTAGATCCAGTCATAAGAAAGATCCCACAATTCCACATGCATGAGAAAATACAAGACGGCTGCAGAACACATGTTGGGCTATCGACAGAAATAAGAAAGATATTGTATTTGGAGAGACTATGACATCTGTCTATTATTAGATATATGGCAAGAAAATGTACTGTATTTATTTCTAACCAAAACTTCTGTTTTGTCTGTTGGTGTTTGTGACTTACCACGTAGTTATGTCATTGGATTAAGCTGGTCTCTGCCCACAATAGTTCAAAACCATGTTTCAATACTCTTCTATCTAGTTCTGTAGTACCATACATCTACTATGAGAGAGACTGTCTTGGTGTTCAGCTAAACTGTTTGTAAGTATTTTGAAAATGGCCCCAATGTACACAAAGTTAGATACTGTAGAACCTAATTTTAAAGGAATTTTCTGCTTCTAAGACATTTTTGGAAACTTAATTTACTGGTCTGTCTTATTTATTTTCTGAAACAAAAATGTGACATTAATACTACGTTTGCACACAATCCACGACTCACTTCGATCTCAATTTACCTACAATCTGGATGGTGACCATCACCAGACAAACGTAGAGCTGTTCGCACAGGCAGTCCGCTTGAGAAGAAACCTGGCTATTACATGCAATGATAAAACTGACATAACTAAGCGGTAAGTCATGAACGCCAACAAACAAAATGGAAGTTTTGGTTAGAAATAAATACTTTTTCTTGCCATATATCTAACAATAGACAGCTGTCATCATCTCTCCAGTTGTCTTTTTTATTTCTCTGTTGATAGCCCAACATGTGTTCTGCAGCCATCTTGTATTATCTCACGTGCGTGGGATTGTGGGATCTCTCTTATGACTGGATCTAGTTTCAAGAACTCTCTTGAGTCGATTGCAATTGAACCTTGTTTCAGTCAAGATTGAAACAGTTGACATAGGTCACACCACGGCATAGTCACTGACCTAGGTCACAATCTAGATCAAAATGCTCGGTGCAAACGTGATATTAGATAGTATACAAGAAACATGTTTTAGCCTAAAAAGAAAAAAAAAAAGCCTTAGGCTTCAAGGAAAAAGGAAATTTTATTTCTAATAGTTGACAGTCTAATGCCAGGATTCACTGAATTTAAATATACTTTTATAACAATTTTAATTTTATTAAATTATTATTTTAATTGATACAAAATGGATTTTTATGCTGTACAGTTAAAAAAAAATGAAGTAAATAAATCAAAATAGTAATGACTTCATTCATCTTTTGTTTCAATTTTGTTAGCAAAATGCCTGAAAATAATGCTGGTGTGTATAAACAAAAGAAAACATTACTTGGTCAAGCTAAAGATATTTTCAAACAATGTATAATTATTTTAGTCAGGGATGCACAACCTTTTTTGAAGAAGGGCCAAATTAGGATTAAGTTTATTGACTGGGGGCCGGACCTCCAAGTGATTAATGTGATGTCTGATGCAATTTGCGAGATTCTTTGTTGTATCGTCATGTGGTTAAGACTGATTGTTTGAAAACACTGTCTTCTCAGGACACATCTCACTTGCGATGATAAGACACTTTTTTATCATATCACCATCTGTGAAAGGT